TTTAGTGAAGAGATATTAACTTTGGGTACAAGATGAGAATTAAGAACTGGGCACTAAGTGAACAGTGTGTGGATTCTACTGTATTCAGTATATCCCTGCCCAGGGCCTAACACTAGCTAACAACTATCTACAGATATCAGGCTGATGTCAACATAAATGGCCGGCTGCACCTTGTAGTAAACGGACTGCAAAGCAGGTCCAGACACTTCCTAACAAAGTCCGAGCAGTTCAAAGCAAAAGTCCGAACACTTCCTATCGCAGATCCGAACACTCCAAACAGGGGGCAAAAGAGCCAATCAGCATTTACATCGCACGCACGGATGTTTCTCTGTTAAGTAGTGGCGGCTATTCTGTGGCGATTTTGACCGGACATCCCGCTGTTGGAGGTTACAGGTAATCTTTGCTAAACGGCAGACAAATGAAATAAGCTTTGTATACTGTGTAGTTTACGTTTGGATGTTAATTTCTTTTGGTTGAGTTGGTTGTGTAATTGTTAGTTAACGTAGTCTCGGCTCACCGGTCCATATTGTCTTTATGAGTTGGGTGGAAAATATTCTTGGAATGTTCAATTTATTCTATCTATGATACGTTAACAGTAACCACCACAGGCACGGGTGGGAAAAAATGGAAAGACGCCCTGGAGCGTATCGATGCCTGTCCACTGCAAAGCCGCAGTAAAGTGGACCTGTTTGGCAGACAGATTGTCTGTTCTTGTGGGTTTCATAAGGTAGGTATATGATGAGTTATTAGGACATGATAAGTAACCATAACATGTAGTAGATTTGATGATCCATACCCACAATGTGCACATTTCTTCATAAAAAACATATTTTAGGATTATTGATAAAATAATTTATTACAAATAGTATCACTGTCTTCAGTGTGAAACTTCTTTCCCTTCCCCCAGTCAGCAGAACAAGTAAGGATGAAGGCAGGAACAGAGAGAGACAGGCAGCTGCTCACAGGGGGTCGGACAGGGACTGGAGTGTTCCCTGTGTAGTGAGATTGTGGATGCAGAACAGTTCACAAAGCATCTCTCTAACAACCATGCTGAAGAGAGATGTGACACCTGTGGGGCCAAGGTTAAGGGAGCTATAGGGCTGCTGGAGCACATTCAATCTGACCACTACGGTGCCCTATTGGCTCCATCCCACAGAACACAAGGTTCTATTGAAACTTCTCAGCCAATTCTGTCACCCAGGTTGTCGCCATCTCCTCATGTCCTCCAATCTCCGCAACTGAACACATCATCACAGCTGACCACACCTTCACAGCCTGCACCATCACAACGACCTGCACCATCTACACCACTTCCTCCTCATCAGGCTCCTATTGACTGGGAGGGGTTTCTTCCCAGTCAGTTTAAAAGAGTTCTTCAGCCAGCAGACCGGGTGTGGATTGCAAGGTGTTTGTATGAGCCAACAGGCCAGCTGAGGCAGAAAATTGAGGCAAACTGGTTGTATCCTCTGAAGCCCATCTCCTGAGCCTGGGTGGTACTTCAGGCAGAGGATGTTTATCTGGGCACCAATGAGAATGTGGGGTATTCCTCTAAAATGTCCACAGTGCAGCCGGAAAATGCACCATTCTGGAATCTACCCAAAGGTAAGGGAGGTGATTGACATGGACAGCCGCTACTACTTGGTGGGTGGAGACTATCCACGTTGTAGTACTTGCAAGCTACCTGTATGCCCTTGGAGCCAGGACATCCTTGCCCAGCTGGATGTGGCACACAGGAACTTGTTTCCAGCAGTGTTGACTACACAGCTAGCACTGGACAGGAAATGTGTCACCTTCCTCAGACCAAGGACCAGTGGTAACAGCTCCTCCTACTTCCAGTTAGCACTAGAAGAAGTGCACAGCGAGGAGTGGGCTCGACAGACCATAGAGTATCTCTCTGACTGTGAGCTAGATTTGAAGAAGGCTGCCCTCATCCCATCTGTGTCTGTATATCCTCCTCCTCCACCCTTCAGGCCCCTTCCACTTGCCCAATGGTTTGAAACTGTCCATTCTAACGACATCCTCAGCCATCTGGATGAAATTAAAGGAAAGGTGTCATCACTTCTACCTATGGTAGAATCCTTAAGATGGACTCTACAAAGAAGGTAGAATAGAACAGGATTCTTAGCATTATTTCCACTTGTATTAACCTAATGGAATATAATCAATTGATTTTATGCTGCCATCATAAGGAATTTTAGGGACATTTAGGATTAAGCTTAATATATTCTTCAGTTTTCTTTAGAAAATTATGTCTGTTTTTCAGGTCACCAAGAAGCTGGCCGGTGGTATTGGAGACACAGCTGCATGGATGACAAACATTGGCAATGAGCTTGGTCAGGTTCTGAACAGCGATTTGACAACAGGCGAAGGTGCAGGACTGGAGGAGTTGTGCCAGGGCATCGTTAAGCTCTACCAGGATGCGGGGGAGCCTGAGCCAGATGTGATCTATGTTGACCGGGACTGCTGCAGCCAGTCAGGTGGGATTGTAGTGTGTGTTATTACCAACATCATTTAATGGTAATACAAAAATAATTATGAATACAATTATTATTTAAACAATATTCAATTTTAAAACATGTTTCCTAATTTTTGCAATTACTTTTCAACAGGTGTGCCTCCAGTGCTGAACCTCTTTAGGCCATGGAAGTCTGTGGTAAGACTGGACATCTTCCACTTCATGCGAAGGTTTAACTGCGGCCTTACCACAGAGCACCACCCTCTATATGGTACTTTTTGTTCAAAACTTTCCTCCTGTGTCTTTGAGTGGAATCAAGAGGATGTAGAACAGCTCAAAGAGGCTAAGAAAAGGGAATGGAAGAGCAGCCACGGTGGACAGGCTCCCACTGATGCACAGATTATGTCCAGCATCAGTACAGGTGAACTGGCAAAACACTGCAGACGGAGAACACTCAAGGTTGAGAAGATCAGGGCCATGATTTCAGGAATGTTGGAATCAGTGTGGGAGCTGAGAGACACTACAGGGCTTCGCCTGGTGAATCCAGACAGCATGCACCATGTGTGGGAAGTGCAGCAGAAACACCTCGAGTGCATTCAGGACCTTGCAGGTCTAGTAGAATTGTACACAAAGACGGGAACACTTCAGAAGGGTGGAAAAGTACTTGATGTCCTTAGGTGTGGCAGAGGGTCCTCCTCGCTGGAGAGTTTTCACCGCCACCAATGTGCTTTCATTCCAGGTAAATTCCAAATATTAACTTGCTGCATCTTCTGTCATTTTTGAATCTGAAAAAAATATACTATTGTTGTTTCAACACTAGAGGAAAATCTATTACTCATCCCAGGTACTACCTGAATTGTGTTTATCTGTCATTTTCTCACATGTCCACATTTTGAATGGAGACAGATAAGGAATTAAAACATGTCAACAATGAAGTAATTCTCACTTAAAAGAAAATTACAGAAACTGCATTTTGTTTCTTAGGATGGAGGTGTAATGCAATGCACACACAAATGTATATGTTGGAGGGGGCATCAAGGTGGAACATGAGCTGGGCAAAAGAAGCTGTAGCTGTGGTGGGGTCATCAACTTTCAGGATATTTGATGTACGTTTGATGTGTCACCTAAATAGCATGAGTCAGCGGGTCCTTGGTTGTACTCTGATACCAGAATTCACCCCTCCTGGGAAACCTACAGGTAAGATGGCTCTCAGGGCAATGCCAAAGTAGTGTATACCTTATCCTCTCCCTTCGATTTATGGTTATATTTGTGTGTCCCTGTCTGTCCCTTTACCCATATCTGTTAAAAATTATTATAGGCGAACGCATTGCTGTGGAATATTTGTTGGCCCAGTCCAATAGAGGGGACCTGCTCATTCCACAGCACAGTGATGAAATGTTCCAAGTGCCCCTGGAACAGCCTGAGGAGGATGAGAGTCCAGCTGACACAACCGTGTGCCTGGCAGCTGACCTAGATGCTACTGCCTCCTCAAATCATGTGGCGGCCCCGATGAACAATCAGCATGATGACTCAGGATCACTGTCTCTACACGAGGAGATCAATGATGAGAAAGAGGAAGAGAAAGAGGAAGAGGAAGAGGAGGAGGAGGAGGAGGAGGAGGATTGTGGCACTGCAGGTCCCAATACATCAGGCCAGGTAAATTTTGTTTAAAAATGATGCAGAGCAAGATTTTTCACTGGTGCAGTGAAACACACTATTTGATTGTGGTTGTTTCTCATCATTTTTCAGATCACCCACTATGATTCTATGGGGGTCTTAGGCTGGGAGGCGGTTGATAACCTGGCAGCCCTCCTTGTTGGACTTAACAGAACAATCACCGCCTTATCCTCAAAAGAGGAGGCCGACATAATCCACCTTTATGCAGCTCTCCATCCGATGGATAAGGCACCTACAAAATACAGCCAAAAGGCGAAAAAGAGGACCACATCAGGACCTTGGAGGGCATCCAGGAAGCGGAGTGGTTCTGCTCCCGGACAGCAGGCAGCAGAGAGGTGAATTTATGCAATTTGTAGTAAATTTAGTAAACTGAGTGTAATGTCCTTGTATATCTCGTAGTTTACAGCCATATATATTGTGCTTATTTTCCACAAACTGTTCATGACTCATGGGCAGGCAGCCCAGGACCCTGAAGTCCACAGGGTCTGTGAATGTGTTTGCCTTAGACTTTTAAAAGAGTTTCGGCAAGCACAAAATAGACCAAAGGACAAAAAGGGCAAAACTCTGCCTGTTCCACAGTCTATTGGATTTATTTGATTAATTTATTTCTTAACTAGTTTTAATATGTTAGTGTGTGTATTGGTCCTCTGGGCAACCACGGGTAAGCCACCGGTGGGAGAGCCGGCCGGGTAGTAGCTGGCCTATATCAGTCTTTGGATATCTATTTGGCTCCTTGTCTGTCTATGAGTGTTTTTAACTGATATTGTATTACTATGTTTTTATTGTTGTAGCACTTTGTGCTCTCGAGCTGGAAAGTGCCATACAAATAAAGATTATTATTATTATTATTGTGGTGGTCTACAGCCACCTCAAACAACTGCTGGAGGACAGCAGAGCTATTCTGGATCAGACCAACTTAGTTCTGGTCCCAATAAACATCACCACAGTATCTTCATGGTGAGTCTTGTGTACTTTATCATATAATCATCAAAGTTATAAAAATGAAAATGCAAAAAAAAAAAGTGCTCCTACACTGACCAGCCACACCATTATGTACACCTGTACAATCTGATGCAACAGCTCTGTCATGAGTTCTACTTTTACAAGGGTATAAGGTTTTATGTTTAAACGATCAGAGAGAGGATAATTCTGCTGTGAGTTTATTTTTGTGGTTTCAATGGGTGGTGGAGGCATGTAACGTTTAGTTTCTTTTAAACAGTCTGTTTAAAAAAAACTAAACATTACATTGAAAATGGAAGACAAAAAGAATCTACCGGTAATTGCTTTATTAGGTGGTGGAGGGATACTAGAGTGCATTATATTAAGAAGAGTTTCTAATATTTTGGCACACTAATTTGAAAAATTATTGTAACCGTAACGCTAACCATTGCAGGCTGCCCAGGAGGGACAAATGGACAGACAAGGACATGCTGCTGCAGGGCACTGTACTTCCCAAACAAGTGCACCTGGCAAGGGAGCCACTGCCTGAAGTGCGGACACTTCCAGCTGCTCCTGCAGAGCATGGACATGAAGCCATGGTATTTGAGGAACGAGAAAATCAGGAGGGGAAATCCACTATTCGGAGGCGCACCTCAGACAGGTCAGTGGTAGCACAATGTCCTGCATGGTCATGGCCCACCCCTCCTCCTGGATCCTACCCACCTGCTCCACCCTCTCCATATCCCGCCCCTGGATTCTACTCATTTCCTAACTACCCACCCACTCCACTACATCTTCCATTTCCTTCTCCTGGATGCTACTTACCAATTCCACACTGCCCACCTCCTCCACAGTCATTGCTTGCTGGTAACCAGCCACCTGTTACTCATCCCCAACTTTGCCCTACTACTGAGCCTAGGCAGCGCGCTTGGAGGAAGCAGAAACATGCACAGGAAGATGCTGAGAGAGTGGCTAGGGGTGAACCACCACGGAAGCGCATTACAAAGGATGAATATCATTATACCTGCAAGATCTGTCAGAAGGCAAAAAATAAAGAAACTGGCCACACTCAGCTGAAGGGAAAGTGGCATTGTCTAGCCTCAGGACTCTCCTTGGCACAATGGAGGGAGAATTTAAATGGCATTTTTTTAAGTGTGTGTGTATTTGAAAAAGCGTTTGTACATAATTAAAATGTTGTGCTTTGTGTTTGTTTGCATATATTAAAAATAAACAATAAAGAAAAACAATAAACACACACCCATCCTGTGGGTGGAAGACTCCAGGTGCAAATCCTGGCAAGAGTGTGTGATGGTCAAGATCAGACCTAATTACTTTATTCAGAACTTTGTGACTGGAAATGATATCAAATTGGGAGGTCACTCAATATTCTGGCCTAATATAAATGTTTTTAACTTGGTGCTATCAGAAACACCTTAATATAGGCCAGCCCAGTACATGGCCTTCATTAGGACCAGACTGCTAAAACACAGAATTCAGTTAATACGTGTTTCACAGTGTCAGCACAAACCTATGCTAACAGGCATCATAAGTCAGTGAGATATAACAGTTGATTGTATTAGTATGTATTCACAATTGTAAATTCCTTGATCTGTATATATACAGCTGCATGCTTTCAGTTTACCTTCCACTTACACATCAAATAGGATTGTGTGTCATGTTTTTGGCTGTGATGTTTTTTAGAGGGATGTTCTGACCCCGGAAAAGACACTTTACCCCCACAGCGAGGATGGAAGTGCAGATACAGATGGTGAGCTCAATGTTGTGCATTATGAGATTTTCCAGAAACTCCTGTCTTCTGGCAAAGAACTCTGCTGATTGTTTTCTTACTGTAACTCATTACTTAAAAGATTAATAGAGTACTAAGTTAGTCTCACTTGTATTAATTACAGTAGTTGTCAATATTTCATCCTATCTAAGCCATCCTAATATTTGTCTGTTACTATTGTAGATCAGAGCCCAGGAACAAGCCAACCTAAGAGGCCCTTAGAGAAAAAGAAAAGAGGAAAACGGGCCAAGACAGTGAAAGCAGTGGGTAAGTTCTGACAATAATGCATACCTGCTTGTGCACACTGTCATGTATCAATAACTTTAGCCCTACTGTCCGGATACAGTTCTATGCTTTCACTATGCCTTCCTTTTATATGTCACATTAGGAGATTCTGACCTGTTGTCTCCGATAAAGACACTTTGCCCCCACAGCGAGGATGGAAGTTCAGATACAGATGGTGAGCTCAGTGTTGTGCATTATGAGATTTTCCAGAAACTCCTGTCTTCTGGCAAAGAACTCTGCTGATTGTTTTCTTACTGTAACTCATTACTTAAAAGATTAATAGAGTACTAAGTTAGTCTCACTTGTATTAATTACAGTAGTTGTCAATATTTCATCCTATCTAAGCCATCCTAATATTTGTCTGTTACTATTGTAGATCAGAGCCCAGGAACAAGCCAACCTAAGAGGCCCTTACGGAGAAAAAGAAAACAGGAAAACAGGCCAAGACAGTGAAAGCAGTGGGTAAGTTGAAACATGCAGTCCAGAGACTGTCTAAATGGGCTATTGCCATCCTGCAGTTTTTTCAGTATTGATGCAAATATATTTAAAGTAAAGCTCTAAGTTGGCACTGCAATGTAGCATCCTTATATATTTCAAAATATTGAAACTGAAGAACAAATTAACTGTCCAAATGCATAAATACTTGAAATCTGGAGTGTAGTTTAAAGCTACCTTTAGGAGGTTTCTGTGACAGAAAGTTGTGCATGAGCACAGACCAAAAACCCACATTGTGGTCTATGCATTTAAGGTTGCACAATGTAAACTGTATGCTCTCCCATTTGCTTAATCTCCCAGAGTAAAAGGTGAAAAGGCCATGGAGTGAAGTAGAAAGAAATGCTGTACACAGACATTTGGCAAAGTTTATGGCAGAGCACCGAGTTCCAGGAAAAGAGCGCTGCATGAGATGCATAACAGCAGAAAAAGCCTTGGGTGAATGATCTTGGAAAGATGTGAAGAACTTTGTGTACAACACAATTGTTACTCTCAACTGAAGGGATGCTTCACAACATCTTAGGTTCTGATTTTCTTGTATAAAATTATTCAGTTTCTGTTCCTATGTTTTGGGGGGTTTTTTTTTTGTTCTGACACAGATTACTAATTGCCTGTAGGGTAAATGTGGGAAAGTGTTTGTCTGTGCATCAGCAATGTGATAGACTGGCACTTTGTCCAGGGTTTACCTGCCTTCATCTGGGCTTGGTAACAGCCCTTCTGCAACCCCCTAGAGTATATGCAGGATGGATTTTGTGAGAGTTCAAGTTTAACAAACAAATAAATGCAATTTTGTTTACTGTAGTTGACCTGTCTTGTAGCTTTATTTGATGTTTTTTGATAATGTGTATTTTGCTGAAGTGTTTTGTAAATCTGCACTTTCATACAATAGCCTGGTCTATAGTCACAATGTTCATGTAGGCATTTTGCTTATCTATGATCCCCAAAGAGT